ACAACTACCACCACCACTACTACAACTACCACTACTCCCACAACTACCACCACCACCACAACTACCACCACCACCACCACTACTACTACTGCCACTACTCCCACCACCACCACCACCACTACAATTACCACCAGCACCACTGCTACTACCACTACTGCTACTTCCACCGATACTACTACTGCTACTATCACCACTACCAGTACTCCCACCAATACCACCACCACCCCACCTCCCCCCCAGCACCACCCGCACCTCCCCTACTGTGGAACCAACAGGAACAGCAGGGTCCAGCCCCGTGCAGGCCCCTCTGGTAGGAGACCTCCTCCCACCTCAGGGACTTGTGGCTGGGGATGAGGCAGGTGGTGAGTCTGTCTTATAAATCAAGACCCCCAGGCTCAGAAAGCCGAGCAACTTCCTAGGATGCGTGAGCAGGGAACATGACAACTCTCCCGTCTCCGCCCTCAGGCTTAGGCTGGGGGCCAGAGAAGACAAGAAGGGGTATTTATTCTCCACCAGGAGATGAAGGCTATAGCGTGTCAGGGCTCAGGGATGCTGTGGGGACCTCTGGGGACAAGGAGGGGGACCTCTGCAGACCCAAAGCTGGCTGGCTTGTTGTGGTCACCTCCCGCCAGGAAGGCCTCCAAGGTCAGCATCACCCCCTCTGCGCAGGGGCCTGGGGCTCCCTGGGCAGGTCCCAGTCCCCCGGGGCGCCAGGGTTCACCTCACACGGGGCTGGCCTTTGCCCCGGGGCTGCAGGAGGACAGGCCCTCTGCATGGTGGCTGCATGGCAGGGCCCCTCCACTGGAGTCAGATGGACTCAAATCACTTCTCTTTCTCATCAGGAGTGTGAGAAACTGGCTTATGAATTGGACCAGGCTGGCGACACAGATGCCCTGGGGAAACTGTTAAAATAAACCCCCAGGCCCTGTGTGCCTCTGCCGCCTCTGGAGTCTGAAGCCGCAGCCTGGGGTGCAGCGGGCCCCCGTGATTGTGTTGTTCAGGCAGACATTCACCCGTGAGCCCCGCTGACATCAGGCCAGAAGAGGTGCAGCGCCCCGGCCCCAGGTTGTCACCCACGAGAGCCCGGGGAACTTCCGCTGGGCCGGCCCATCCTGCCGTTAGAGCCACCTTCTTCTTCCTCACTTGGGCGCTGAGAAGCTGTTGCCCAAAGAGAGGAAGGGGCTTGGGTGAGGTCCCCAACAAATCTACCCCAGGGCTGGCAGGAGGACCCCAGCGGGTGCCAGGCCTCCAGGGAGAGACACCATGCGGACGCCCAGGGACACGCCGCCCAGTACCCACGCCCCAGCGCCCACCCTGCTGGCCGCCCACCGGGTCCTCTCACCCATATGCCTACGGCCACGTTCAGGGCAAAATACACGGTGATGACGATGATGTCGGCCACGCTCAGCCGCGGCCCGGGGGCATGGGAGTCGCCGGTGGAGTTGTCCGCTGTCATCCTGCAGCAGGCGCCCGTGCAGAGTGAGAGGACTGAGGGCCCAGCCAGGTCGGAAAGGGCTTCCTGGCAGGCAATAAATTGATCATTAAACCGAGCAGCCCAGTGACATCTCCAGCCCACGGTGTGGCTGCCTGCAGGGACACCGCTTCAAAGTGCCGCTCTGGCTCCTCCACCCCCCAGTGGGGGCAAATCCTGAGGGCAGGCGTGGGGGAGAGCTGGAGGGGGTGGGGGGAGCCTCCTGAAACTCAGAGAAGGTTTGGGGAAAATAAAGGGAGTTTAGTGGATCCAAAGGCAACCAGCATAGTCCCAGAAAGAAAGGGCTCGGTTACCTAACAGGTGGCTTGATCTACATGGAATCTGTAGAAGCAGCGTGGAGGGTTGGGAGGAGAAGCTGCCCCTCTGGGGACACCACCCTGAGGGCAGCAGAGCCCTCCTGCGGCCGTCAGGCTGTGAGTGGACCGAGAGGCACTGGGATGGCAACTCTGCATTACGTGGTTTATTCCAGCCACAACAGGCCTCGTCCCAGAAAGTCCCGTGTCAGACAATAAAGGCCTGTCACCAACAACTCTGCTCTCTTTTTCTAGACCAGTGAAATAGGCCCGAGCCCCTCAACCTGGCCATTCGTTTGAGGCCCCACGGTCCTCCCAGGACCACGGAGGGACCCGATATCTAGAAGTGTCTGCGGGGGGCCGAGGGTCATGCTTAGTTTATCTACACACTAGCTACCCCATGTCACGCTCAGAGCAACCACTCAGAGGAGGTGATGTCGCATCACAGCCAAGGAACAGATGAGGGAGGCTGAGCCATCGGCCTTTCCCAGCCATTTCAGGGGCAAGGCTGGGACTCAGCCCCAGATCTGACCCCAGATCCTCCCGGGGAAGGCAGCGATGGCTCTGGTTCTCTGTCGAGTCCTTCCTGCCCAGAAGCTTGCTCGCTAATTAAATCAGTGTGCACAGCCAGGCGGGCGTTTCGGCGCCGTGGTCCGTGGCTCTGCAAAGCACTTGAAGTTTAACTGGACACGCAGCCCTCCCAGAGGTGTTAATGAGTGAGCGGCTGCCGCTGAAAACATGCTGGCCTGCAAAACCGACCGTGCCTATTACTTGGTAACCTGAGATGCGGGGTTTAAAGATTAATCCTCTCACACACAGGACAAGGTAGAGGAGAAAAAAATTAAGTCACTGCTTATAGCAAACCCAGGAGGGCTCACACTGCCCCCCCAACCTCACCCACCCCGCCCAGATACACTCGCCTTCCCCCAACTAGACTCAGGCGGTGTTTACTCCCCACGCCACCGCTAGAAACGCATCCTAAATCAGATCACTTTGTAGCAGTCAGAAGGACCCTCCTGGACAATGTCCAGATTTATTAATCCTGTGTCCTAAAGATCAAGTACTAGAAAAAACAGTATTTGGTCCTCTCTCCGCTGCCTGAGAAGGAAATAAACCACCTAGAGACACACCCCCCACTGCAGATCAAAAGTCCTGAAGCCGTGAGAGGCTGGTTCTGCCCTGATGGACGGGAACAGGCAGAGGACACAAGGGAGAATACAATTTGCTTTCGTTTTAATTAATAGATTTTGTTTTTTCAGCAGTTTAGTTTTCAGGAAAATTAAGCAGAAAGGACAGAGTTCCTCTATACACCCTCACTATCCACCACCCAACCTGGTTCCCCCCCATCACATCACATCCTGCACCAGGGTGGGGCATTTGTTACAAGCGATGAAGCTGCATGCACACATCACGATCACAGAGCCCACAGGAGTCCGTGGTTTACATCAGGGTTCACTCTCGGGGCTGCACGTTCAACGGGTGTGACATACAGGTGTACCTCATTTTATTGTGCATGGCTTTATCACGCTTTGCAGATACTTCATTTTTTACAAATGAAAAGTTGTAGCAACCCGACATGGAGCGAGTCTATCTGCGCCATTTTTCCAACATTTTCAGCAATGGCCCACTTCATGTCTCTGTGTCACATTTTGGTAATTCTCGCAACATTTCAAACTTTTTCCCTATTATTATATTTGTTACGGTGATCTGTGATCAGTGATCTTTGGTGCTACTATTGTAATTATTTTGGGGCATCACGAGCCAGGACCACATAAGGGGCGAACTTAACAAATGCTGTGTGTGTTCGGAGGACTCCACTGACCAGCCGTTTCCCCGTCTCTCTCCCTCTCCTCAGGCCTCCCTGTTCCAGAGACACAACAGTATTGAAATCAGGCCAGTTAATCACTGTACGATGTCCTCTAAGTGACCAAGTGAGAGGAAGAGTCGCGTGTCTCTCCCTCTACATCAAAAGCTAGAAATGATTAAGCTTGGTGAGGTGTGCACAGCGATAACAAAATGGACTATCATGTGTCAGGGCTTCCAGAACGGAGTGAGGAGGCCATTAAGGACGTGAGGCTTGTGCACGTCCACCACGTCTCTGCCCAGATGGAATGTGACTTTTTGAACTGTGCCTCACACTCTTGTTATCTTGACCTTCCTTTAAGAAAAAACCGCTTACTCCTATAGAAAAATGCTTACTCCCATGCATCAGGCTTCTCCTTAGAGATGGCCTTGGCAGCTAATCAGGCGGAGCTGGCGAGTGACAGCTGCCGGCACTGATCTGCGTCTTGCAAAACAACCTGTGTGAGTCCTCTCTTTTTGTCTTTATTAACTCTTGCCTTCTTTGTCTTCTCCAGAGCACATTTTGGGTTTCTGCCTAAACTGCAATTCTAACTGCCCAAAGAAATATTTATTGTTTAAATCCCTGTGATTTTGCCTCGGTCAACAGAAGAAAGCATGACAAAAGCCGAGACAGGTCAAAAGCTAGGCCTCTTGCACATAACAGTTAGCCAAGTTGTGAATGCAAAGGAAAAGTTCTTGCAGGAAATTAAAAGTGCTACTCCAGTGAACACACGAACTATAAGAAAGTGAAACAGCCTTACTGCTGATATGGAGAAAGTTGTAGTGGTTTGTTCTGGATAGAAGATCAAACCAGCCACAACATTCCCTTAAGTCAAAGCCTAATCCAGAGCAAGGCCCTAACTCTCCTATTCTCTGAAGGCTGAGAGAGGTGAGGAAGCTGCAGAAGAAAAGTTTGAAGCTAGCAGAGATGGGTGCACGAGGTTTAAGGAAAGAAGCCATCTCCATAATACAAAAGCGCAAGGTGAAGCAGCCAGTGCTGATGCAGAAGCTGCAGCAAGTTCTCCAGAAGATCCAGCTAAGACCACTAATAAAGGTGGCTACACTACAGAACATATTTGCAGTGTCTTATACTGGAAGAAGATGCCATCCAGGACTTTCATAGCGAGACAGGAGAAGTCAATGCCCGGCTTCAAAGTTTCAAAGGACCAGCTGACTCTCGTTAGGGGACTAATGCAGCTGGTGACTTTAAGTTGAAGCCAACGCTCATTGACCATTCCGAAAATCCTAGGGCCCTTGAGGATTATGATAAAAATACTCTGCCTGTGCTCTATAAATGGAACAACAAAGCCTGGATGACAGCACATCTGTTTACAACATGGTTTACTGAATATTTTAAGCCCACTGTTGGAGACCTACCGCTCAGAAAAAAAGATTCCTTTCAAAATATTACTGCTCATTGACAATGCACCTGGTCACCCAAGAGCTCTGATGGAGATGTACAAGAGATTAATGTTGTTTTCATGCCTGCTAACACAACATCCATTCTGCAGCCCATGGATCGAGGAGTAATTTCAGCTTTCAAGTCTTATTATTTAAGGAATACATTTGGTAAGGCTGTAGCTGCCATACATAGTGATTCCTCTGATGGATCTGGGCAAAGTCAATTGAAAACCTCTGGAAAGGATTCATCATTCTAGATGCCATTAAGAACCTTCGTGATTCATGGGAAGAAGTCAAAATATCGACATTAACAGGAGTTTGAAAGAAGCTGATTCCAACCCTCATGGATGACTTTGAGGGGTTCAAGACTTCAGTGGAGGAAGTAACTACAGATGTAGTGGAAACAGCAAGAGAACTAGAATTAGAAGTGGAGCCTGAAGATGTGACTGTATTGCTGCAATCTCATAAAACTTTAATGGATGAGGAGTTGCTTCCTAGAGATGAGCAAAGAAAGTGGTTTTTTGAGATGGAATCTACTCCTGGTGAAGATGCTGTGAAGATTGTTGAAATGACAACAAAGGATTTAGAATATTACATAAAATTAGTTGATAAAGCAGCGGCAGGGTTTGAGAGGACTGACTCCAATTTTGAAAGAAGTTCTACTGTGGGTAAAATGCTATCAAACAGCATCACATGCTACAGAGAAATCACTCATGAAAGGAAGAGTCAATCAATGCGGCAAACTTCATTGTTGCCTTGTTTTAAGAAATTAGCACAGCCACTCTAATCTTCAGGAACCACCCAGTCAGCAGCCATCAACATTGAGGCAAGACCCTCCACCAGCAAAAAGATTGCAACTCTCTGAAGGCTCAGATGACAGTTAGCATTTTCTAGCAATAAAGTATTTTTAAATTAAAGTATGTACATGGTTTTTTAAGACATAACGCTATTGCACACTTATCAGACTACAGTATAGTGTAAACATAACTTATATGCACTGGGAAACCAAGAAATGTGTGTGACTCACTTTATTGCGACACTCGCTGTATTGCGGTGGTCGGGAACTGAACCCATGATATCTCCTAGGTGTGCCTGTATTTTTTCTGCCCCTTCTCTCTCTTCATTTTCTGGGATCCTATTTATGTATATGTTGGTAAACTTGATGGTATTCTACAGGTCTCTCAAGCTGTGTTCATATTTCTTCCTTCTTCTTTTCCACGTTTTTTTATTGTGGTAAAATACACAATTTTTTTACTATCTTATTTTTAAGTGTACAGTACAGTGGTAACAGTAATGTTAATAATTATAATACTGTTGTGCAGCCATCACCACTATCCAACTCCATATCTCTTCTCATCTTGTAAAACTGAAACTCTATAAGCATTAAACAAGAACTCCCCCATTCTCTCCTCTCACCAACCCTTGGCA